CCACAAATTGCATACAGGCTTGATGAGACTAACGGTGATTAAGCCATTTGGTGTGCTGAGACTGTTAACAATACACATTTGTTTTTATTGTTTGTATTACTGTAGTGCCCTAGTCATGGATCAGAACCCCTTTGTGCAGGGCACCGTATAAGCACAGAACAAAAACACAGTACTTACAAAGCATCAGTGTTCCACGTGTTTTTCTATTTATTTACATTAGTGCTTTGCAATTCTCTCTGTACTGGGCATTACTCAACAAAAGGGTGAATATATGAGGAATGATGAGCGTGTAAGGAGTCATAATAGGTTTATGTTGCGTTTGCACATAATAATGAGTTTGGATAAACCACACATCTTTTTGGCAATTCACACCTTTGTGTCTGCATAATTGCTTTTCATGTATCACCTCTGTTCTTTCCCCCTCTCCTGTTTTTTTTTTTTAATTTCAATTATAATCTATCTGCTAGTTTCACCCCATATGTTCATTTCATACTCAGTTAAATTTTGTCTACTGGGGCTAGTTATGAACACAGGCATTCTTAACTGTCTCAGAAATCAAGCAATAAGCATGTATAGCCTTTTAAAATCATATTTTCTTCATCAGTGGAAACTTCCTGAGCCATCTCAACTAAGTAGATGGAAATAAATTATTGCTACAGCACTCCTTGTAGAGGAAACAGCCAGCAGTGGCATTTCTGAACCAATTATATTTCACTTGAGATCTCTTACACCATGCTACTTCTTGAGTTTTCACATGCTTTACAATTGTATCTTGTCTCTGTCATATTTTCTTTCTCTTTGCAATAGCCTTTTAGGATTTGAAAGGACTTCTTTGGGTCAGCACTACCCTACTTCAGGAACAATACCCATGGAACAGAAAAATTTCCTCACTGAGAAACAGGCTTAAGAAAGCAGTTTAGGGTTTGGGGAAAGAATAGGCCTATCACTGTCTGAAGGACTGAGAGGCAGGAGTTCTAGGAACAAGGTAGATAAAGTTTTTCCGTATTGGCCCTTTTCTGAGAGATCTCTCTGGGAAATCTGTAAGGGTTCTCAGTACACACTGCTAGCTGTCCAGATTTATGGGCTCAGATTCATCCTAGAGGTCTTGGGTTTTTTGCACCTCATGCTACCTCTAGACTGCAGGCTTCTTTCGGAAGAAGCTTTTCCGGAAGAGATCTTCCAAAAAAACTACTTCTGAAAGAGCATCCACACTGCCAAAGCGCATCAAAAAAGCAATCTGCTTTTTCGAAAGATAGCGTACACACTGAATGGACGCTATCTCGTATTTAAGCTGTGATTACTATAGACGGAGTAGCCAGTAGGGCACCTGTACTTTTTACTCTTTCCTTTTCTTTCGAAAGAATTCCCTCTTCCCCGTCCAAAGAGCTCTTTCAAAAAAAGGCTTCTTCCTTGTAGAAAGAGGTTTACCAATATCGGAAAAATCCCTTTGTTCTTCCAATTATTTTTCGAAAGAACACAATTGCATTGTGAACATAAGTGAAGCTTTTTTTGGAAAAACAGTTGTTTTTCAAAAAAAAACCCTCTGTAGTGTAGACATAGCCTCTGATGTGGCAACCCTAAAGCAAGGAAGGCTGGAACAACCTTCTCTGTAGTGGTATGCTGGTCCTTTATGATTTCAGCCAGCATCTTGCTCTTTCATGGGGTCAAAGGAACATAGCAGGCTGGAAATTGTGGTCTCCAGGGCAGCCAGAAGTGTAGTTCAAGGTTCTGGTGAAGCCTCTTAAAAATGGCTCCAGATACAAAGGAACCATCTTCCAGCAGAGAGGGAGAGATGTGGAAAAAAATTTTGTATCCTCTGCACACCTGTACAGGAACTGAGCATAATCTGACGTTAAGTGCAGAATTTCATCACTATGTCATCCTCTTTTAAAAGGTTGTAAATGTCTATGTCTCACTGAGTCTTTGTAGCTTGGTCACGAAAGTTTATAAAATCAAATTTAAGTATGGCCTTAAGCCATACTCAGATACTATGTGCATCAATGAACTGATTTTAGATACAATGTTAATAAATGCCATCAAAGAACCTAGATAGATATGAGCTTTATTCCTTTTTTATCTCATATTTTCCATCTATTGCAAAATATTATATTATTGTAATTACTTCAAGAAAAGCAATATATTTCTATACTCTTTTACTATAAATCCAAGTTAGGAAAAAAAAGAGTTCACTTTTATAAAGACATGATAAGCAGCCATGGTTCGAAATGCCATTTACTGTAACTAAAGACAATTTATGGATTTGTTTCCTGACCTTGTAATGAATTCCCTAAAGGAAGGAGGATCTGAGTATTAATGCAGTACTCATTTGATGTTAACAGGACTCCATGTGGGGGCAGAGGTATGCTTACTTAGAGCCCACTGCAAGGTCAAGCCTTGCAGTATTCACAAACACATCAATTATGAGAGTATAGGAGGGCAGACTGATAGCAGTCTCAGCAGTGTTATTGAGCATGCTCAGTACAAGCCAAGCAGCAAATCAAGAGCAACAGGCGGGGGGACGGAGGGGGAGAGGATAGGTAATCAACCCCATCTGCATTCTCCTCACCCTAAAACATATTACCTCTTTCCAATAGCTAGTAAGGCAGATAACTTTGCAATTAGCTGACAGGAGCATTGTATCTAATTCCTATATTAAAGAAAGAAAATTAAATATTAGATCCGCTCAGCTCCAGTACTAACATATTCTCACATCTTGTGGCAACTCACTTAAGGGACACTGGTTAGCCTTAAAAGTTTAATATAAAGTCTTACTTTGTTACTAACTGCGGAGAAAGAGACAATGTCAAGACTCCTGGGCTCTATCTCAATTCTGAAAGGGAGTGGAGTCTAGTGGGAAAGCACTGTTTTATGTTCACACTGTGCTCCTTCTGATGGGAGAGCATGTCCATGTTAGCAGCTCTTACAGTGCCTCAGAGAGCAGTGCACTGTGCAACTGGCTACAGGATACTATGGCCAGGGTTTGCAATGCCGCATCGTGGGGCAATCAGCATCACATGACCAGGTTTCTCACTCCCATTGCTCCATGATCATCCTGCTACATTGACAGCTGCTTTTCAACAGAAGTCTGGAAATTAAGGTGTGTGTGTGATAGGGAATGTGTGTGGATGCGTGTGTCTATATGTGGGGCAAAGGGTAGACAGTGTTTTGGGCGATGTCAGCATGCTGTCTTGTAAGTTCAGTCAGCTGCAGGAAACAACCCCTCCTGAGGTAGGGAGAGGGGTAAACCCTGACATCTCAGCCTCCCTCCCCCACCTCTCTCTCTGGCTCTTTGCATGGAATCTCTCTCACACACACATGCACAGTCAGGTCTACCTCTATGTTCAACAGAAGGAGAATGCCACCTGAATGGTTTGTTCTGTGTCCCAGGGTAAATCAGCACAGTATGCAGCCTGTCTGAAATGAAGGTCTGAAAGGCGATATGTGCATGCCCATAGGACATATGGTTGATTTCAAAACAGAGCAGAGGGGAGTTGAGGTATTATGGGCCATTTCCAGAGGACAGTCAGAATGCAGCAAACAATTCAAGTGTCCACACTGGCATCTCAGTGCTGTATTCAGAGTGCAGTACTCTCTTCGCTTCTCATTGAGGTTTTTTACCTAGAGTACAACTGCAGAGTTAGTGCACACTAAGTGCCTTGCCCATGTGGACACCTCAGGAGTTACAGTGCTGGGAGCTATTATGAGTAATTTTGTATCATCTGCAAATTTTGCCACCTCACAAATTTTGCCACCCTTTTCAAGATCATTTATGAAGAAGTTGAACAGCAGTGGTCCAAATGCAGACCACTGGAGCATATCACTTTTACACATATTCTTATTTTTCCAATTTTTAAGTGGAATACCTGACAAGGTTTTGATGATCATCTAATGATCCTTCAACTACTTGAATTACAAGCTTTTTGCTATTTTAATCTCCCTGCCTCCCTCTGCTTATAAATAAACTCCCTGCTCCAAAGCAGGGAGCAGCACAAACTCTGTTGCTGGTAAAGAGCTGTCTCTGGAGTTAGGGCACATGCTTTAAGCAGATCTCAATTATGAAATCAGGGCGTTAACTCCATCCCACCCCCGCCCCCTATGGCACCTTTGAGTGTGCCTCAAGTCGATTGGGAACCAGTCATAGGGAACCAGCCAATGGGGGCAACACTTGCTAGCCTTAGGCAGCAATGCAGCACCCAGAGACCTACTCCCACCCTTGGGGGGCCAGGTACAGAGGGTGTTGATCTCAGCCAGCTAGCATTTCCAGGAGGAGGATGGGGCCAGGAAGAGGCAGTTTGCCTGAAGCCTGCTATACTGCTGATTGGGAGCAGTCTGTGGTAAGTGCCTCCCAGCTGAAGCCTGCACCCCAGCTCTCTGTGCCACCCCTGAGCCTGCACCCAAACTCCCCTCCAGAGTTCACAGTCCTCACTCCCTCCTGCACCCAACAATATGCCCCAGCCTGGAGCCCCTTCCTGCATACAGAGTTTTGAGGTGCAGGAGGGAGTTAGGGTTGCAAGTTCTGGGAGCAAATTTGGTTGCAAATGGGGGCTCCAGGATTGAGCAATCTCCTTCACAGAGCTTACGCTCCTCAATTCTTCTCCAAAACTCTGCCCCAGCCTGGAGCCCCTTCCTGCACCCAAACCCCCTCTCAGAGCCTGTGCCACTCACTCACTTCTATACTCCAACACTCTGCCTCAGCTTTCTGTCCCCTTTTGTACCCAAACTCCCACCCAGAGCCTGCACCCTTCATTCCCCAGCATCCCAACCTCTTGCCCCAGCCAGATGGAAGTGAGTGAGGAAGAGGGAAAGTGGGCGAGGGAGTAGGTGGGGCTTTGTGGAGAGAGAGGATCTCAGGAAAGGGGCAGGGGTAGATCCTGGATTGCCCTTAAATTTAAAAAGTCATATTTGGCATACTTTGAGACAGAAATCAAGTGCAAATTGTATTATTGTCTTATCTAATACATTTTTAATTTAAAATTTATGCAGCATTTGATTGCTTATAGGAACTTTGGCTGGAGTGAAGAAGATCAGTGGGTTTATCAGACTGTTGTAAATCAGTATCCAAGTGATCTTCAGAGCAGAAGAGCTCTGTATTTGGATATGCTACAGAGACATCTGCCTCACAAATCTAGGCATGAACTGGTCAGTGCTACTTCATATGTTAGAAAGTTTTCTTTAAAAAAAAAAAGATTAAAAAGAGTACTAAACTAATACACTTTTATTACCAAAACTTAGGAGAAAAAATTCTTACATTTTGAAATTAATTCAGTTTATGCCAGTTAAGAGGAAGGTTTTGTATTTATGAATATAGTTAAGATTAAGTATCCCAGTTAATGCTTAATTTGCTCAGTTACCTGTAAAAGAATTTTGAAAATATATCACCTCTACAAAACATGAGCTGTGGCACTTTTCTAATTTTATCTACTTTTCTGGACAATCCAACAACAACAAATCCATCTTACTAGGATTGTGTTTATAGGTGTCTTACTATGCTGGCACTCTGCCTCCCTGTTCTCTATGGGTGTGTCTAAACTACATGCCTCCGTCGACGGAGGCATGTAGTTTAGACACACCCATAGAGAACAGGGAGGCAGAGTGCCAGCATAGTAAGACACCTATAAACACAATCCTAGTAAGATGGATTTGTTGTTGTTGGATTGTCCAGAAAAGTAGATAAAATTAGAAAAGTGCCACAGCTCATGTTTTGTAGAGGTGATATATTTTCAAAATTCTTTTACAGGTAACTGAGCAAATTAAGCATTAACTGGGATACTTAATCTTAACTATATTCATAAATACAAAACCTTCCTCTTAACTGGCATAAACTGAATTAATTTCAAAATGTAAGAATTTTTTCTCCTAAGTTTTGGTAATAAAAGTGTATTAGTTTAGTACTCTTTTTAATCTTTTTTTTTTTAAAGAAAACTTTCTAACATATGAAGTAGCACTGACCAGTTCATGCCTGACATAGCAAGTACTGTTACAAATGTCTGAGACCAATCAGTCTAACTATTCCAACGTATGCTGTTGAGAGATGCTATTGAAAGTGCATTCAATAAGCATAATGCCTTATAAGCAGCTTGCAAGGAAGTTTTGCACTTTATAGTAGTTCATGGAATCCTTTAAGTCTTTTCAGGGAAGGATGGGAAAAACTGTAAACAGTGAGCAACGTTTTTTCTTTGGATGTTCATTGCAGCCAAAAGGGAGGATGATCAGTCCATCTATGAATTTCTTGTGAATTTCAGTCCTCCTTCTGCTCCTAGGAACAGGAATTTGTGTCACATATCAAAATAAAATGTGTAGGTCTCCCATCCTTTTAAAAAAATCTAAAACTATTGGATTATATTCCAGCTTTATCCATTATTTTCTTAAGAAACTATATTTCATGATTCTATATATAGAAATGCTACAACAGTATAAAACTAATTCTTAAAATAGTTACATAATATTAGCATAACTAAACTGGGTTTGTTTAATTCCTGCATTAGTGATTGGCAGCATATTTTAAAAGGTTGTATATTTGTTTACTTTTTGAATGGTTCACAGGTGTGAAATTAGCATAAATTAAGCTTTATGGCTCACAAGTAAAATGTTAACAGTTGGATATTAGTATTTTAAAAATTAAAGAGCTTCATATTGGGAAGTCTGAATAATGAACTAAAATCTGATTGGCTTCTTTCTCCTCCAAGTTGGTGCCTGTTTTGATACTTTGCATTTACTTTAAGAAGAGAATGCGTGTCAAATATCATGTCATTTTGTGACTTAGGCTACGGCTACACTGTAGCCTTCTTCCGGAAAAGCTTATGCAAATGAAGTGTGGTATGGAATATTGCCATGCTTCATTTGCATAATTAATTAGCAGCCATTTTTGCGCAAGAGGCTTTTGTGCAACAAGGAGTTGTGTAGACAGCTCCTTTTTGCGCAAAACCCCCTCTTGCGCAAATGCCGTTCTTCCTCATTTTTTCATTTCATTGCTCAGGTCCTTAACTCATATATCGACATTCCGCCAGGTTCATCTTCCCTCTGTGCTCCCTAACAATAGTGAGGAATGCAGCAAACTGTGCACTTTCCCTTGCTCCCAGCCAGCAATGTCCCCATATGAACCTGTGACGGAGCTTTAGTCTCCCCAGTCCCCGACCTCCCTAAAAGGAACCTGAGGAGTGGTGGAGGCTCAGGGCATGAGCAGTCCTGGAAGTGGGAGGGTGCTCCTCCTGCTAGCCCCTTTCACACCCCTGGTGATTCTATCACCTTCTGTATGGTTTTATACAAAGCAGTCCCATTCCAGGCACATGCCATTTTCTTGACACAGCCAAACCCTTACATTATTTTAAGTTATGATAAGAGGAAACTGTATTCTGGATTTGGTGGTCCTAGCTCTTACCATTTAAGAGGAGTTCAAGAACATACAGAGAAACAGACAGACAAACTCTCTCAAATATATAATATTTATTATTGCAACTCTATTGATTTCAGTGGAGCCATTGTACCATAAAGAAGAACAGAAATTTGTTACTTGCAAACTGTTGAGTCCCTTCTGTGTTAGGAATAGCAAGGGTGCTGAGCACCTCACAGAAGAACCTCAGCAACTTCCAAAATCAAAACTTAAATGTTCAGTTCCATGGGAATATCATTAGTTTACTTCAAACCTCACAAATCCTTAAAATTAATGTCCAGTACTATTTATTCTTTTATGTATGGTTTTAAATCTTTTTGAAATGTTACTCTTTAGGTTGCTCATGAAAAGGCTTGGGATCAGTATCATTTTGCTAGGAGTCAACGTAGAGCTTTGATTTTAAACTGGGCTCAGGCAAGAAAAGCCTTTTTATTGAAAGCAGTAATGACTATTGCTGAAGCTTGTGCTGTTCATGAGACAGAAGTGATGTTGGCTAATAACAGAAAAAAGCAACAGGACATCTGTGCTGATTTGAAAGGAAAGGTACGTTCATTTACTAGACCACACATAAATATGTCAGTAATTGTATCCTGTTGGGTTCAAAATTAACTCAAGCAACTATCTTGAATAAGTTATAGTATCAGAAGAAACAATCCTAAATGAAGACTGGCTGTCACGTTCTTGTTGTTACTCGTCTGTTTTAATCCTACTGGGCAACCCTTTATTACAAGAAAATATATACCTGTACGTGAGTGAAGAAGAATGTGATCTTTTGGCAGAGTTCTTTATCCCTCTATTCTCTTGTGCACCTTGAACTGTAAATTACTTTAAGGTTACTCTGTTTTATACCAGAGCTCCTGTTTGACTTCTTTGGAGCTTGAACAGCTTTACAGAGATACTTTGTTGTGCTAAAGGTTATTTAAAAATACATTTGAGCACCTTAGCTAGTGTAAATTAGCGCCGTTCATTGTACTCAGTGGTGCTATGCCAACTTATACTAGCTATGGATCTGACCTATCAAGAATAGGCATTTATGAATAATAACTTTAACATGAGTAAGGTTAAAATTTTCATGCCAGAATTTCACCTGCCTTTGCTAAGTGTCCTTTTTCCACTAGGGGTGGACTTCACTATTATAACTCTAAAACTGTATCTACATTATAAATTTGAGTTATTTCATAAGATTGAGAGGTTAGATAACATCATTTAACATAACAAGTGGCTAAAAGTGGGAATAGTTGGGGATAATTCTACTTTCTTCCATTATTTATTATTCACAGTAGATAGAAAAGAAAAAGCGTGGAGTTGAAATTTTGTTTTTTTCTGCCCCTTTATCTTCCTCTTTTGTTTTTCCTTTTTCCATTTTGCCACTGATGTCTGATGGTGGGGAAACTTGGAAATTTCTCAAAAAGAAAAATTCCAATTTTGAAAAAAGCTAAGGAAAATTGCCATTTTTGCACCAAAAAACCTTCAACTACCTCTAGGAAAAAGCAAGGCAAAAAGGCCAAGTAAAGGAGTGATTAATATGAACAGATAGAGAAAGAAAAGTAACAAACATGAAAATGAGATTTGTGCCTTAACTTCCATTTAAATCAATAAGAGTTAAGAGCCTAAATAACTTTTGATCTAAGCTAAAAGGTTGGGTGAAAAAATTAGTAAATTGGTGATTTGTTAAGCATTCTGCTAAATTGTGAGTAGGAACTTAAACTTTATCTGTTTCCTTCTTCTTTTGATTGAGCTGAACCATCTCTGATGGTTCAAAAAACTTGAGTAAAAGGAAAATAGGCAATATTACAGAGCCAGTCACATAATTTCATCATACTATTTGCCAAGCTTATAGATGCTAAAGTGCTATTTTATTCTGAAATGGTCCACATTTTGATGGAGATTTGTGACAGCTTTCAATATTTTTTCCTCTTAAAAATGTAGGCATGGTGTATCAAAATACTTATGCAGACAGAAAGTGTGGCAAGAAGAGAAAGGAGTTTTTACATTGGAAGTATTTTCCCAAATAAAACATATTTACCTAGAGCAGAACAGGGGAGGGAATGCATTTTGCAAAAGTAATAAAGCAGGGATAAGAAACCTGAGGGCTGGGACTTGGATGCGGCCCCCATCTTACCTAGCTCTTGCCCCCACTGTGGGGTAAAGCACATACATTCTACTGAGCTGGGCCCCTAAGCTGGTGTGCAGGGGGAATATGGGAAGTATCTCTTCTCAGTCAGGGGCCACATCAGTGAGGGTGGGATGATTTTTTTTTTTTTTTTTTTTGCTTTTCACTTGTGTGCGTCTGACTAATTTTTCTATATGTCAGTGGTCCCTTACCCCCAAAAAATTCTCCATCCCTGTAATAAAGGATCAAAAGGACTGTTCATACAGTTACACAAGGACATATACAAGATTTTACTGTTTCAGGCAGTAGCAAACATTCAACAATGTGATACACACAGATGTAGTTTATGCGTTATGTAGTTAAGTCATGTAGTTTGTGTATGCGAGTGCATATGTGCAAATAATTCAGACAACCTACATAATGGCTACGTCTACACTACAAGTTTTCTCGGCAAAAAATATGCAATTAAGGGACTCATTTGCATAAGTCACGATCTCATTTGCATATTTTTGGCCAAGAAAACTCGTAGTGTAGACATACCCAATGGTAAGCATGTCTCTACAAACTTTGATATTCCTTGTGTCGGAAAAATGCTCTTCCTTATAGAAACAGAACATTGACTGAAAAGGGAGGATGTACAAGGACAGGCCATGAAAGCTGACATATATTGGTACATTGTCTTAAACTAAGATGCTATGACATGATTTCAGCTCCAAGAAATTGAAACTGGTCCATATTCGGTTGTGTTTTATAGCTACCCATCTATGATTAGTTTCCTAAAAGAGTGTAATTATTCCCATGCTGACCCTTCACAGTGTGGTTGTAGACAAGATTCAGTCTTTTTTTTTAAAGATAAAATTCTCCTCTATATTTGTTTAAATGCAACTATAATTTGTATGTAGCCTGAAATTAAAGGACAGCTCATTCAAAACTGATATAAGGAAATATTTTTTATACAACGCGTGATTAATCAGTGGAACTCCTGACCACCAAATATCATAACCAACGGTGTATCAGAATTCTGGCAAGGATAATGAAAACACCAGTTATATTAATAGAATAAAAGTACAAATGTTGTAAACTTTCATGCTTAAGTTAACTGCCTGAAAACTGTTATGACTGAGAATGAAGTTTCCCATATGAACAGATTATTCCGTAATTGTCTGTTTCCAAAGATTATAATGTCTTTTATGTTTCCAGTACTGATCACAGTCAGAAACAGGATACTGGACTAACTGGACCATTTGTCTGATTTGTTATGGCAACTTTTAGTCAAACTGGATTTGACTGCAGGTGCTATCTGTAAGTTCAACAGAATGAAATAATCACTACCCTGCAGCGGGCACAGTGACTTGCCCAAGGTCACACATGAAATCAGGGTATTGAATCTGTGTCTCCTAAGTTACTACTCTAACAATGGAACGATTTTGTCCCAATACCTCCCATTGTCTGTAAAGTGAGGTGGGCAATCATTTTTTATTGGAGGCCACTTCAGAAAGGGGCAGGGCCTTGGGTGGAAGGACACTTGCATGCTTCCCCACCCACGGACCCTGATTGGTCTGTGGGTGGGGGAGTGTGCAAAATCTTTGCCTTCCCTCCTCCCCCCATGAGAACCGCCAGCTGTTCTGAGCAGCTGGTGGTTCCCTCTATGTACTCGTGCCCCTGGTGGTTGGAGGAGACTTCACGATCTCCCCCCCACTATCCCTAGGTCAATCAATGCCTGGGGTGGGGGAGCAAGTGAAGTCTCTCGCTCCCTGCCCCCATCCTGCAAGGGTGCACTGCGCTTAGAGTCAACCACCAGCTGTGCAGCAGCTGGCGGTTGAATTTTAAGTGCTGAGCTCCTTGTAGGGCAGGAGAAGACTTCATGCACTGCCTACGCTCCCAAGCCCTGACTGGCCTGAGGGTGAGGGGAGAATGCAGTCTCCTCCCACCCTGCCCTGTCCCTGCAAAGAGTGCATGTTGCTTAGAAACAGTGCACTCCTGGCAGGGTGGGAGGAGACTTTGCGCGTTTCTCCCCTCCGCCATCCCCAGTCCAATCAGGGCTGCCAGGAGCGTGTGGTGCTTCTAAGCTCTGCGTAGTCCTTGCAGGGCGGGGTCAGGGCAGGAGAAGATTTCACATGCTTCCCCCACCCCAAAGTCCTCATTGGCCTGGCGGGGGGGGCGACAGGGCTTCCGTACATTGGATCAACTCACTTGGCGGGCCAGATCTGGCTCATGGAGGCCCTTTTGTCCACCCCTGCTATAAAGGATGTTTGTACAGATTACAGTAAGGATAGAGTTTGGACCTGAAACCAAACTTCAATTAACCATTCTATTAATGATGCATGAGCTAGAATAGAATGAATTTGGATCTTTAGGTATATTTACTCTGCAGTGCTAAGACTTAAAAAAAAATGCCTTAAATTGTCACTAAGGTAAACAGATATTAAGTTGAATAGCAGCCAGGTCTTTGAAGTAAAAAGGTGCGACTATCACGTAGCTACTATTCTGAACATAACCACACTTTAGGCTCTGACTATTTTAACATATAAATTGAAGTGTGTATCAGTTAAAAAAAGAATAAGCAGATCCCAGATCGTTATGTTATAGACACAAAATATATAAGTATGCTATTGACTAATACAGATTGCTATGTAGAAAACTGAATAAGATATTATGCTGTTTCTGAAAACATATTGAATAAAACCCCCACCCATCTTTGTTAAATTTGGTTCAACTCCTCTCAGTTATAGCAATGTTAAGAGGCCTAGGCTACGTCTAGACTGGCATGATTTTCCAGAAATGCTTTTAACGGAAAAGTTTTCTGTTAAAAGCATTTTCGGAAAAGCGCGTCTAGATTGGCAGGATGCTTTTCCACAATCCATTTTCGCGATTGGGGCTTTTTTGCGGAAAATAAATCTCTGCTGTCTACACTGACCCTTTTGCGCAAAAGTTTTTCGGAAAAAGACTTTTGCCCGAACAGGAGCAGCATAGTATTTCCACAAAAGCAGTGACAATCTTACATGAGATCGTCAGTGCTTTTGTGGAAATTGAAGCGGTCAGTGTAGGGCAAGTTTTTCCGCAAAAGCAGATGATTTTGCGGAAAAACTTGCCAGTCTAGACACAGCCCTACTGTAAATGTAGCTTTCCAGCTCGTATGGTTTTTATCATAATTCTTCAAATATTGGTAGTTTGCATTTCTCATGATTACCCAATTTATGGCATCAAATTTGTGAAACTTTGCCCTTCTTCAAGATGGGCACAATTTCTCTACAGCTTTTGTGTAGCAAAATGGTCACCTCTAGTAAAAATGGCTACTGAACCCAACTGTTTTCAATGAGACTGTAGCCAGGCTACACTTAGGAATGATGAGCGGGTATAGGAAGAAAACTACCTGTATAAAAGAATGTCGACTGAGTCATGAGAAAACTGACAAGAACTGGGGAAGCAG